ATTGGTCGTACGTTAGGGCGGGCTGGTGAATGGAGAGGCAGACACAACTTATTGGTTGCAAAAAACTTTACTCACGCCGCTTGCAATCACGACGCAGGTGGTCCGGTCGTCTGAACAACCACGCGAGTTGTTCCAGCTGGCGGGGCCCAAGCCAGTTAATCCGTCCGCAATTCGAAGCTGGCGGGGAAAGGGGTACGTCGGGGTTGCGCTCGGTGACGGGAAGAAAGATCGATAGGTGATCAGTCTATCGATCAGCAGCCGCAAGTCAGATAACTTCAGAGGCACTCTGCAGCGTGCTCAAAGCTCTTCGACTTGGGCGGAAGTTGCGCGGAATTTTAAACTGCCAGCGAGCCAATTATTAGCTGCCACGTATGAATAATTTAGCACTGGCCAATAGCGGGGCACAAATTTACATTCGAATAGCAGGAACTCTTTGCACCGTGCATTTCTGTGCTGCAAAGAAGAAATGCATCCTGCAAAGGAAACTGCAAATTGGCGGGAACTCTCTCCTATACGCGGGTTCTCAATTGCAGCAGAACACTCTGCCATGCAAAGGAGCTCTCATGTGGCCAGGAAATTCCATAGTGCCGAGGCACAAAAAATCACTGGGTTGTGACAACTTCTACAGCACGGGCAATTTCTTTGATTAACATTCCAGAGACTGTATTGTTTCTCTAAGATATGGATAAACAAGGGGTGTTGGACACTGATTTATTTAACCAACAGGTTCATGAACAAAACCTTAGTTCTCCTCATTAAGTGGCTTGATTTCAGAAGATGTTACTGTGTAGCAGTAATAAATTATTACTCCCAACAAGCAATTATAGTTATCTGGCTATACTTGGGGAAGGGTAATTTACATTAAAATTCCTTCCTTAAGTTACTTTTCAGGCAGTACAGCAATACATAACCTCTACCTATGAATGGTACCTTTGGGAACCAACCAAGCACAATGAGAGTACTCTCTGATAGTCCTGGAGCTGAACACATTTTCTTTTTCTTTTTTTTAATCTAAGATGTGATTGGATTACTCCTCAAAACCTTTGACTTGACCACCAGAGAGAACCATTTTCCATTTTTTTTAATAAAACAGAACAATTCTGGTGTAGAGTTTGCTCAAGGCTTTGGCCCTTCCCTGCTACAGCAGCTAATTTGTGCAGGTCATATAGGAACTAAACAGCCTTCTCTGAGAAATATTTGGTCCTTTTCTAACATGGAAATGAGCATGAGTCCAGGAGAGCTTGTAGATGGGCTTTTATTCTTTCTATGTTACAAAGTCTGAAACCAGAGATGAGTATTTTTCCAAATGGATTAAGATTTGAAAAATAAAACCAATTCCATAAGCTATATTTCTGCTCTACTTTTCAATACTTTCAAACCAACAGAATGATGATCAGAGAAGCAAGAATTAAAGTATTTTGGAAGTGTCAAAAGAAGACTTGACAAAATGGTGCCAAGAGTTGCCAATGATGCCTGTGCTACATTTAAAATGGCTGTTTGAGGAAGAGAGCAGCCCCTCTTTGTGCACATCCAAATGACAAGTAAAAGGGCTGATTCCAACTTAGATAACATGGAAGTTGGCATTCAGAAAGAGGTATGTTCTTCTTTTTCTGATCCAGTCAGCAGAGGGAATGTCTTACCTGTATCCCAAGAAAATATTTCTTCTATGCACATAAAGTCTGTTGGGTGCTTTGTGAATTTAGTGTGTAGTTACATGAAAACGAAGCCAAGCAAGTAAACTCCATTGATACCTTTGCCTTCAGAGAGATGCATAAAGATAATACTGGAGGAGGCAGTGGATATTTTGGTAATAAGCTCTTACTCAGAAAAGTGTATACATTTGATTGTTAGAGTCTAAGGTTCATCTCTACCCTGCCTTCTGAATAATATAGCTAACTGCCTCTCTCTTTGGGAAATACTGATAACTAGTGTTATTAGTTACTCGAGTTATTAGTATTACTCATACCAATTCCATCTGCTGGCCAAGACTTTTAGGTTAATTCACAAGGAGAAAATGGCCACCATACTTTTGGTGGTGAATGTGTGCCTATTTCAAAGAGCCATGCCCCTGGAGAATGGGAAAACAAAATAATGAACTTATACTTAACTTGTTCTGAGAAAAGCATAACTTTGTCTATACTGGAGATAGTCTTTGTATAGGGACTTCAGATACCAAGGTAGCTGTGAACACTGGACTCCTCTACTAACCAAAGGAGAACACTGTAGCAAATGATAAATTGGTAAGTGAATCTCACGAAGCAATCGGCATCAGCATATTCAACAGCACCTTTCAAGCAGCATCACTTCTTCAGCACCCAAGGGAAAGTAGATATTAATGGCCAGTTTACTTCTCAGCTGTTAATAATGAATCCAGTTAGTATTTCATCCCAATTTAACATTTCTATTTACTATGAAGGTACCCAGAAAGGCACTACTAGAGAGATTCCTTCATTCATTTTAAAAATAAGATCGCTTTAGTAATGATCTATATGAAACAGAGATGGCAGCCAACTGGAATTTCAAATCTCCCCACTTCTTAAAATAAATTCTAGATGAGTGTTACATCTGCTGTTTATTTTTCATTTTGGGATTGGAGTAATTGCCTCTTCCTTCCTTTAGCACACACCTTCCCTTTTTACAGAGTGAGCATCAGCCTCCAATGCTCTTCAGGCTTTTGCCTGAAATGTGATGCCCATGAGCCTCATTCCCACGTGGCTACTACTGGGCTATAATTTGAGTTGCCTGAAGAATAACCTCTCCCAAATCTCTGGAGCCATTTGAAATGGAAAATAACATAGACTCTATATCCTGCTATATAGAGTTTTCAGTTCAGTTGGCTTTTTTCTAATGTTTTAATAAGCCTCTCTGGTGGATGGGTATGAGAGAGAATATATTGATATTCTACTCCTGCATGCTTCTTGGGACATAGACCATCCTTTTCTAACATGTGGAGTTCTTAATTAGCTCTGCAGTAAAGTGTCATTGTCTACACGAGTGGTGCTATTAGGCCAGAGCAAACTAATTAACTCTGCTGTAGGATAGTACTGTTGGACACAAGTACCATTCTATTTACTCTGCTGCAACCCACATGTAGATGGTGATGGGCTGGCTGGGGCAAGAGGGTGCTATATTGTGAGGCCTTTTGCTGGCTAGCCACATACTGTAGCACCCTCGTTCCCCAGCCAGGCCCTCCACAGCACACTGAGTTGTGGGGGAGCAGCTCTGGTGGGCTGGCAGACTGACCTCCCTGGGCCCTCTGCCATCCAGAGCTGACACCTTAGCTGAATGTGCTGTGGTTCCAGGTACACATGTAAATGCTGCACCCAAGAGCAATAAACTACAGCTTGAACTGCACCAAAGTTTATTGTATCAAATTAATTTCCTGTATAGATGCACCCTGTTTGTATAGCACTTAGTAAGAACCTGGTCCATGATGGGGCCTCTTACACACTATCGCAACACAAATAAAATAATGAAAGCTACTATCTGATGGCTGACAGACAGATAGCCAGACAACATATTGTTATTATCCAGCAGCTGGGTTTTTTTTCTGTTGACCTGCTAATGTTTGGGAGCAGTTGTCTATTTTTTGGAGACATTACTACTGGTATTTGTAGTACATCCTAAGAGAGAGTGGGGCCCAATTATACCTGACGTTATGCAAACACACAGTAAGAAACAATCACTATTGCAAGGATTTGTAGCACAGGGGTCAACGCAGACAAGGTTTGGGTATAAATTTAGCTATGCATTTTAGGATTATTCCCCATGTGAGTTAAGGGTATGAAGGTCTGGTCCTTCGTTAATACTGTATGGATATGCACACACAGGGGCTTGTTACATGCTGTACTTTGTGCTGCTCAGATGTTGATTGGTGTTAGTGCTGGCTCAAATTGGAGCAGTTGGCTAGAAACCTCTGACTGTCACCTACCTGCACAGGTGTGACTTTCCACTAAAGAGCTGGCTAGCAGGGCTGGACTAGGAGCTACAGCTATGAGTTGCCACTTCTGTGCTGCTATGCCAGGCCAGGTTTCTATCCTTGCTCTGGGTGGGGGGGTGTGAGAGATGCTTTGGGGAGAGGAAACATGAAGCTGGGAGGTGGAGAGTTAATGGGAAGGGGGGGTGATGTAAAGGGAGGTGGAAAGGAAATGGGGGTGGAGGAAGGGTGGTGAAATCAAGGAAGTCAGCCACTGCACAGCCCTGCTGCTGCCTCTCACTCCTGACCCACCGCACCCTGTCCCCCAGACCTGCTGGTGCCCCTCACTCCCAACTTGCTGCAGCATGTGGGTTGCAGCCCCGCCACATGTGCGCGCGCGCACACACCTGCCAGCAGCTGCTGGGGGCTACGTCCAGAGCATGTGATCCCTTAACAGCCAATCACCTTTCCCCTGCTGCCCCTAGCCCCAAGTAGACAAGCCAAACAGTGACAGGGGAAAGCAGAGGCAAAGCAAAAATTCAGAGATTTGCTTGCATTTTAAAAACCCACCCAGACAGAGGACAGGGGGCCAAAAAAGAGAACATGTCCAGGAAAACCCAGACCTATGGTAACCCTACTCATGTTTTAAAAAATTGGGATTTGAGATGGGGTGGGAGGGGGGCTGGACATGCTTTCTGGGGTGGCTAGGAGGTGGGACGGGTGAGGTAAGGTGCTTTTGGGGTAGCTACTGCCCCTGCCCAAGGAAGACCCAGCTCATGAGGACCTGATCTGACTGCCTACTTTGTTTTCTTGTCACTCCTGGACCCATTCATGCCCTATGACCTGGCTAGCTGTCATGTGCTCTGCAGGCTGTTAGCATAGGGCTATATCTCTGTGGGTGGGAAGGTCAAATCCCCAGGGATGGGAAGGGGTGTTGGCTTGATACCAGAACTGCACCCTGAGACCTAGAGTTCAGGAAGTGGAAAAGTTGTCCATATAGGAAAGGAGGGTGGAGGAGTGGACACACTGCATCCTGGGATATGGAAGGACTGCAACTTGGGTGGCTTGTCTGTGGGGAATGGGCACACATTAATGGAACATCAGCCAACTAACACGCATCAGAGATAAACCTGACCTGGAGTGGCATAACTTTAAGCTGCCTTAAGTGTGCTTAAAACTAGTTTAAGGAGTTAATGTGTGAACAATCCAGCAGTTAAGAGCTCCAAAAGCCACCTAAAATTAATGTGTAACAAGGCCCAAAAATGGCATGTCTCCAACTCATTGGACCATACAATAGAGGCCTCCTTGAAAACACAACCCTCTCACTTGCAGAAAAATACCATGCAGTTGTGTTCTGGTGTGTACCCAAGGTATCTGAGCCATACTCTTTTGGGCTCAGGAGTGTTTAAATACATGAGGGACTGGTGCCTTCTGAATCTGAGGGGGCACCCACAGAAGGCACCAACGGTGGCAGCCCTGTCGGGGGGGCACTAGGCCTACTGACCGCATAAGTGTTGGCCATCAGGCGAGGCACTGGCCCCGTCAGGGGGAGCACATGCATCCCCATGCACCCCCTACCAGTCACCTATGTTTAAATAGTAACTACGACAGGTTTTCAGCATGAGGCACATGTGGAATGGAGATGAGTAGGTGGGATGTGTTTTCCTGACATCACACCATAGCACAGTCCAGTGTTGTGAAGACATGCCTGTAGTCTGTTGCCTTCCTAGGGCTCCATGTCATCAACATGTTTTTGCCAATAAAACCAAGTATGCCAAGCTGTATTAGAAGTTGGTGTGTCTAAGCAAGCTTCAATTCTGCTTCAATAATGTAATAGTATTATTATCAATAGTATTCACCACAAGATGGATTTTGCTGTGGATTTATTACAATACACTCCCATAACTGGTTACCTGCCTTAGGGAGCAAACAATAAGCAAAGCTTTACCTTAAGGTGAACAGGGAGAGACTCCTGTAGGAAATGATTCCATCTCTGAGTGTGTGGCTTGGGAAGGGGAGGAGGAGAAAGTGTGTGTGTGTGTGTGTGTGTGTGTGTGTGTACACACATAACAGTTTAGACTGAAGTGACAAGATTTAGAAAATGCTGACAGTTGGGATCAGGATTGCAGAAAATCTAGTAGTTATTTAGCTGCTTAATCAGGTGCTCAGCTCCTGGCCCCACAACAACTGCAACCAAAATTATACCTGAAATCTAAAAATACCCTGATACTTACTCTTATTTCTCTATATTTAATACAAGCCTGGAGACCATACTCTGATAACTAATTCTATTTAAAAAAATCTGGGATTGATTCTCCAACAGCTATCCAGGAACCTAGTACTTTTTCTTCAAGACATCCACTGTCTTGCCTTTGAAGGCAAAGGAATTCAAACACTCTGCCTTCAAGAAACTTCCCTTTCATTGACAAACACAGAGAGAACCTGAATGAGTGACTGAATGAATGAATGATTGGCTCTTGAGCTACAATATATTTTTCTTAAGATTGGGAAGGCATCAGCCCTTTAGCTTTGGCTCCTATTATTAGCCCCTATTAGCATTATAATTATAAATACCTGGTAAATTTCTCCCTTTGATCTAGCCCGCATGTCACTCAGTAGTCTTTTTAAACTCTAGATTTTCCCCTCTCTGTCTTGACATTTTCCATTGTCTTCATCCTGAATACCTTCCTTGCTGTTCTCAAAAGCTGGCCAAAAAAACACTAAGAGGATAGATTGTAGTATCAAGTACCATGGCTTCAGGCTCTGAGGCAGCTGCCATGTTCTAAAAGCTTCCTTTATTCTTT